TCTCTGTCAACGCTCTCTGGTTTCATTTAAGAGTCCATCATCAGATATTGTCTAAGATTAACCTACAACTAAACATCCTACAGAATTTTTACAGTCTTTATTTTACAGTAAAAATAAATGTTTATGAAATAAAGTCTAATGTTACAATTAATCCTGGATCGGATTAAAAGTGAAAAATGATTTGAACAAAAAGCTGAAGGTTGAGTTTGTTCCTTTAACTTTTTTTTGGTATTCCCTGCGGTTCAGCACATCTGTAAACACACCGTTCTCAACCATGCAGCTCACAAGCAGCACAGGAAATGGTACAGATAATGGCTGAAAGCTTTTTTTTCTCCCAACACAATGTCGCCTGTTAAGTGATGTCTGCTGTGTGTGTTTTTTTTAAGTGTGTTGAGAGATAGACATTTAACATTACCTCTGCTGCTTATTTTAGCATCTCCTTGGAGTGCACGCCTGGGTTGAGAGGGTAAATGTTTTCATTTGAGTAAATAAAGCCTTTCTTTTTATGCCCTGGGTGAATGGAGGGCTGTGATGCCTAAGCCAGGAGAAAATGGAAGAGATAAACTATATAAGACAGCGAAGGAGATGTGTATGTTTCTCATTTATGCCTATTCAAAAGAGCTGKCGACCCTGAGCACTAATCTGTTTCCTCCCTTTTTTCTTCTTTCACAGTTCCGGAGATTTCTCTGTGATTCACCTCTGGAGGTATGTATTTCCGTCGACTTGTTGGCAGTTGAGTGAACCCCCCCTCCACCACTTTTTTAATTTTATTGTCTTCAAAAAGCACGTGTTATCTTTAAAGGTTTGCTCCAAAGAGGAGGTCTTCATGATRGTTATTTGACGCCCTCTAAATGAAACAACCACACTGGTCGCCCTGCACACGTACTCGCTGTTTGATGTCGAGGCCTTCAGCTGGATTGAGTGCAGCGAAGGGATTCAAAAAGACTGGTTCCTTTCATATTGGAGGATTTTTAATTTAGCCGTGCTAAAGTAAAACGGAGGAGTACGGTGAAATGTGGTGTCCAGACTGCATCCTGGCTCTGCTGAACCTCAGAGCGGTCTTTCCTCCGGCTCTGATGGTACCAGGGGTCTTTTATCTGGATGGGATCTTGTTGCAGAATCCTTATAGTGGTGCACAGTAACAAATATGTTTCCATCAACATTTTTTATACGCGCTTTGAAGTATCACATTAAAAAAGATGGATGGAAACAGAAATTTTTGCAAAAACTTCCTCAATTTTGCAAAAAGGTTTTTATGCAGTCACTTGAGGTGGTTTTTGGATTTTCCGAAAAATAGTTAAAGCGCAAAAGATAAATTTTATGCTGCAAAAAGGCTTTTATTCTGTGTTTTAATATTTTTTTTATCAMAAACTCAACTTATATCTTCCTTTTTCTGATTTTTTGAATCTCCTTAGAGCACTGCTTTAACTATGCATGGCCTTCCAACATCCTATTAAATATGACATTCATGCAAAACTTTCCAAAAACTGAACATAAATATAAAACGAAATATGTCATTATTCTTTTTCTTTATGATCTTTGCACATCTTTACTTATTCTGACATTCAAACTTACCAAAAATTCAACATAAATAAAAAACAAAATAAGTAATTATTTTTTTCCTTTATGAACATCTATCAGATCTCTCTCTAAAGCTTTGGTCGGACCACTTTAGGAAGGGCTCACCGCGTTGCTCATGGAGAAAAGGAGGAGAAAGTCTCCGAAAACACCGGGAAAAGTTGCTAGATTAGTCGCTAGTATCTAGAGGGTAGTGCTGGGCGGTATGACCCAAATTTTATATCACGATATTTTCAAC